TCTTATGGAGTGCTGGTGTGGTGCAGTAGAATAAGCACTTGACCACAATGTTGGTTTGAACTGCAAGGTCAGCGGTTCAAACTCACCAGCCACTCCTTGGTCATCCTCTACAGGGTCGCTGAGTCGGAAAAGACTCAATGGCATTTAACAACAACAACAACACACACCTTACAGCAGTCAATCATTTGAGATCAAAAGGGCAGCAAACTTTAGAATGGTTAGGAAAGAAAGAGAAACGGAAACAGGAAACACAGGGAGGAAGTAAGAAGACTGATGTCACATTGTGAGGACTGTAATCAGTATTAGTCTAAATGTGTGTGAATTGTTGAACAGAAAACTGTATGCTTTGTAAACCTTCACCCAATTCACACACAAAAAGGAACCTTCAGCCCAGACTACATGGAGGGGACACAGGTGGAAGCTCAGAATCTGCGCTCGGGGAGCTTGGATCTGCAGACACAGGGAAGACAAGTAGGTGAGATGAACACCTCCCTGTAACGCCCTCCCCTTCTCTACTTTTGGTTCAGGGACACCTGAAGGATAGTGCCAATTACTAGGTAAAAGTGGCCACTGGGGTAGAGTATTCCAGAGAAAGGGCTGATGTGGCAGGAGAGGCCCTTGGCAGTTTACAGCGTGGGCAGTGTCGTAAGAGGAGGCGCCATTAGTTGTTATTCTGGGATGGCGATGATTGTGACCTGTCGAGTGTTAGGGACCCTTAGGGGGATTCGCCTGGAAATCCGATGACCAGTGGCTGGTGGCAGCGATTGTGAGGGGCCCTAGACACCCAGCCACTTGGACAGAAGGCTGAGGCAGTGGCGGCGCGTCCCTGGGTCCCAACCGACCAGGGACTACATAGCTAGCTAGCATAACCCCACGGCGGCGCCACGTGACGCAATCAGCGTGCGTCACTCCAACATCCGGGTGCTAGCGTCCCCACCCCCTCACCGACGGCTCCTGCTAGGAATACTTTCTGGACGGGCTGCAGAGGACGAGATCTCTGGTGCCTCTTAGTAGTCCGGCCCAGCTTGACTTGGTCCGTTCGTCCCCTCTCTTGGATCCTCTGCCCACGAGGCCAGAACAACTCTCTTTTTCAGAAATAGGTCCTGGGAAGCCCCCCCAATCTATGGACTCCATGGCGGGAGAGGAGTGCTGAGTCACCCACCCCGGGACGCAAATGAATGACCATGGATCTTGTCCCTTACCAGAGGCTACCCTCTGCCTCACCCAGGACCTGGTCAGACTGAAAAACATGCCACCTGATCACGATCGCGGGCATTATGTGTACCTTGTCGGGAATATAGCCTGGAGCGTCTCCTGGGCACGGAGAGGAGGGGGCTTGGCCAGGCATCAGCATGGGTTGGGGGTGGGACTCTGGGGGAACCGTAGCAGCCCCAGCACGTCTGCGGGTGGGCACTGCCTAGGACGCGCCGTAACTTCATGTTGTTAAAGTGCCATCCTGTCCGTTCCGACCCATAGCGACCCAGTAGAGGGTTTCCAGGGAGCAAATGGTGAGCTTGCACCAACCTTACAGTTCAAACCGACTTTGCAGTCTAGCGCATTAACCCACAGTGCCTTGTGGTGGTGCTTTTATGATAGTCAGGGTCTGGGCTTTGGAAGTTAGTGAACTGCACTGGAGGCCTTTCAAGAAAGTTTTGAGGCAGAGTGGAGGTGAAGTGGCTTTGGTCACTTTAGCATATGACACCCCTGTGACCACGTGGGGTTTCCCAGGTCAGGTCAGGCCAATGAAAACAATGACACTGGGTAGGAAACGTGTCAGGCCAGGTTGAGGGGACAAATGTGACAACAGTTTGATAGCTTTGGGAGGGTCAGGGCCTGGTCTAATCTGAGCAGAGGGGATGCTACTCAGGGGAGTGGTACGTGTACCCTAACCCACATTATTGGGTTAGGGTACATGTATGCATGACCCAGTGTTATCTGTGGCCTTACCATTGCCACATTATCCATCCCAGTTCTGTAGGGCCACAGCACAAATCAATTTCCTTCTCTTGAGTGGTCTCCAGGTTTTCTTTCTCCACCATGTTCTCCACACCTTCCCCTGAGCTGTGTCTACCTGTGTTCCTGGTGTGTCCATGGATCCCAGCTCCTGCTCTCTGTCCATAACTCTGCGCTCCTTAAAACCCTTGTTCATGAAGTCTGTGAAAACACTTAGGAATGAGAGGATATACTCAGATCCTCAGCTGAGATTGTGTTTCCTGTGAGGGCTAAGGGACACAACCTGAGAACAGAATTCTTTTGGACAGGAGGCTTTTGTTGGGAGGGATTGGCTTTGTTTGGGTACTACGCTGATTACCATTCAGTCTATCTACACAAGGGCCAGGGAAAAACCCAGGGCTGCCTGTGCAGCTAGGCTCAGGCTCGTGGGGGTTCAAGGTCCCAGGGTTGGAGACAGGAGGGTAGCTGCCCCAGGAACCTCAACCCAGAGAGGGCAGGATAACTGGCCTCTGCCCCACAGGAGGAGGATGGGGCTGGAGGTGGGCCAAGCCTGGCCCCAGGAGCTGCCACCGCCTCTGCTTCCCTGCCCTCCTCTTTGAGGCCATTGTCCCTCCTGGGCACAAAGCCCTGTCCCTGACGATCCTAGGCCTGAGGCTGAGTGGAACTGGCTGTTGCTATGACCTTGGGTGACACCCTTTTCCATAGGCTCAGGCTGTGTTGGGCCTCAGTGGTGTGGAGTCCTCAGATGCTTCCCTCTGCCCACAGCTCTGCTTCTGGACAGAACTGGGTGCTTCTGGGGTCTTTCTCACTCCCAGGGTGGTGGCAGTTGAGGCTGCAAAGGTCAAGCCCAGGGGTCTGTTCTGCTTGCTGGTTCATGCAAAGATCTACTCATAGCTCTCTGCCCCTCACTTCACAGGCAGTGGTTCTAACGCCAGTGGCCCTCTATCTGTGTTGGTGCCACCCTTGGCCTCCTTTCTGCAATGAAATGCAACCAGGTTCCCTCTGGCCCCTACCTTTCCTGCTAGCTCTTTTCTCTCCTGCTGCATCCCTCCCAGAGCCTGGGGGGACCTCCAACTCCTCCCTCCCCTTCTCTTCAGCTGCAAAACCGTGGCCTGCCTGCCAACTTCCTCAGGTGGCTTATGAAGCAGATCACTGTGTGGACTGAGGGCACACAACTGAGGACCCAACTCAGTCAGTGCTTCTGGTCAGGATGGGACAGCAGGGAGAGTGTACACAGGGCTGTCCTCTCAGCACAGGGCAACCTCAGCCCCTCTTTATGAAGGGGGCCACAGGGCAGGACTCTGAGGTGCATCGCTACTCAATAGAGGCAGTGTGACTCCTTAAGGCTTAGTGGCTGGCCTTTGTCAGCTCCAGGAAGCTCCTGCCACCCCAACACAAAAAGTGGTCTCTGTGAACTGAGTATTATTCTAAGCCCTTGATAGGATCACATCATTTATCCTCAACACAATGAAAAGGGTCCCATTCTACAGCTGATGAAACTGAGGAAGTGAGTTGCCCAAGATCACAGTGCACAGATGAGGGCAGGCCCAGGGGAGCTGCCCTCTTCCAGCCTCAGTGACTTGAACTGTGAACTAGCTGTCCAACTTCCACTCCGTCTCACAGCAAAACCTAAGGCCTGCAGCCAGCTGCCTGGGCTAGAGACCAGCTCTGGTGACACTTTTCAGTGTGGGCTGCCTTTGTCCTATGTCCACTGTGGCAGGGAATGAGAGGGTCCTGGGAGCACTCCATGCCCTGGGCACCTTGTGGCAGAGTCAAGGTGGAAACTATTACAAGCAGCACTGGACTGCCCAATGGCCAGGGTATTTCTCATCTGAGCCAAGCTCTTTCGAGATGCTGCTCTTGGGGAGTCCTGTGAACAGGAAGGTACCTGTCCTCACAAAGCTAGGGTCTTTGGCTTGGGGCTCTGCATCTGGGCCAAAGGGAGAGGAAGCTCCAATTGAAAGTTCACCTGCTCTGAGGGGTTCAGTGCTGTAGATGAAAACCCTAGGGCCCAACCATCCAGCAGGGCATCCTCCTGCCCTAGGGCAGGCAGTTGAAGCCCAGCCTGAGTAAAAGACTGAGAAAGGGCTCACTTAGAGCCTCAGGGAACCAGAAACTGGATGTTCCCAAGGCACTGCCTGTATGTTCAGCCCCAAGCAGTTCTTGTCATTTATTCCCAGCTGCCCTTCACAGAAGTATGGAGGGAGGTGAGGGGGTGGCCAGGCCACACAGAAGGCTGAGGGCCAATCCAATGCCCTGGGCTTTACCTCAGGAAATGAACGTCCTGGGCCGGCTCTCCACCCTGAATACTTGGTGCTGCTGCCAGGCCACCACCTAACCTCATGTCCAGCAGGCAGAGTCCAGATCCTCCTTGGCCAGGGCTCTTGGGGAACTAATGCTGTGGTGGCAATAGCTGCCCTGACTGGGTGTCTCACCCCAACTGGTTGTGGTCCTTATAGAGATGACAATGACAGACTGTCAGCAGATGAGCCCACAGAGGGAAGCAGGGGTAGGAAGCTAAGTCAGGATCCGGTTTATTTTGCCTTGGGAGGGTGGTCCTGAGAGTGGCGGGTGCCACCCTGTCCCGGGCGGAGGAAGGGCCCGAGGGCCGGTTAAGGCCAGTGGCGAGAGAAGCAGGGGGGCATATAGCCCTGGAATGCGGTGAGGCCAGGCCGAGGCCCGGAGGCAGCTGTGGTCGGCTGGGGCAGGGGGACCCTGCCACCCAGGGTGGAAGGCACCGGACTGGGACAGGCCATGGCTACAGGGGCCGTGGACCCAGGCCACATGGACACCCCAGGAAGCAGGGTACAGGGTCACACAACACAGAACACAAGACACAGGAAGAAGCACATGGGACGTGTGGCTACAGGTTTCAGCTACGGCCTGACTGGACAAAATGGTAATTACACACAAATCACAGGGGGACACACAGACTCAAGAGCCACAAAACTTGGATGGACACATGGAGGGGGCCTTTTGGCATGCTGCACTGGAATCATGTCAGACGTGGAAAGGTTGGTCTGGAAGCCCCAACGCAGATGCTGGGCTCAGTCTGTCTTCCACACTTTGTTGAGCATTTTCACCACCTCATCATAGATGACAAACACAATGGCCACATCTAGGCAGACCCGGCCCAGCCGGGGGATGGTGCCCTTGTAGAACCTAAGAGGGGCACACGGTCAGCAAAGGAAGGTAGAAGAAACAAGGACACCTCACAGATACAGGGAAGGAGTAATAGGAATCAGTCCCAAGGGGGTGGGGTAGGGCTGGGTTTTGGGAAGGTGGGGACAACTGCCCTCCGCTGTCACTCACGCCTTGAGCCCCTCATTCCTCAGGATCTGTAGACCACAGTCCCAAGTGTTCCGGTACTTGTGTGCCTCCAGGCCCTGCATCATTCAAGTATTGCTCAGCTTCCGCCTATTCCCTGGCTCCCCTCCTACTGTATCACTCCTCATCCTCTCGCCTCACCTGCATCCGGGTCTTGATCACATCCAGCGGAGTGTTCCCAAAGACACTGGCAGCACCTGCGATGGCTCCGAAGACCCCAGTGACCAGTGGGTTCATGGGCTTGTTGGGGTTGTCCCCTGGGTGAGTGGGGGTGGGGGTCGTGGTCAGAGGATAATGGAGAACCAAGGAGTAAGCCTAGGCCAGAGTCAGAGAATGCGGGGGACCCCAGGGTATGGGGCCCAGAGGGGAGGGGCAAAGCCTGAGGATCTAGGGGTGGGGGATGGCAAACACACCTCGGTACCAATTGCGCAAGGAGGTCATGACAAAGAAGCGGATGGCCTGGTTGGAGCCCTGCTTCAGTATGGTGGCTGTAAGGCCCTGGTATGTGCCCTTTAGCCCTGGGGAGGAGCAGAAAGGATCACACTGGCACCTCCCCCACTCAGGTCAAGGGTGTGGAGGTGCTACATCCTCTCCAAGGGGCTCACCTTGTTCCCGAACGATCTCCCGGACCCCGTGGAAAAATCCTTTGTACTTGGGGTTGGGGGAGGTCTGGTCGTGGATGAATTTCACCTGAGCAGAAAGCAAATGCACTGTGTCTGGGGTCACCAAGGGCTGCCACTGGCCACTAAGAGGCAGGCCATCTGAACCTTGGAGCCCAAGATCAGACCAGGATTGGGAACCAGTTCTTCACCTGGTAACAACACTGCCCTGGGACACAGGACAGAGTGAGGTCCTGGCAAAGAAAGGGCCCACATGGAAAAGGAATCTGAGGCCCCTTGGCTGGTATTTCCCAGACTTTCAGCAGCAGCAGACAAGTGCTATCTTACTTTTTCTGTTTGTGAAAGTAGATTTTAGAAACGTTTAGGCTGGAATCAGTTGCCTACACAGAGTTCTGGTGTGGCTTGGAAAGATAAGCACTGGGCTGCTACCACAAGAATGGCAGTTCAAACCCACCAACCACTCCTTGGAAACCCTATACAGAGTTGCTGTGACTCAGAACCAATTCCACAGCACTTTACAAGAGTTACCTACATGCTCCTCAGGTGCACCGGAAAAGTCCTTCCTACGCCTCTTGCCCCAACGCTTCCCCACCTCTCAAGCACTCAGACCTGGGCTGCGACCATTCCCACCTTTACAGTCTCCATGGGACACACGACCACCACAGCCTCTGCAACCCCAGCGCCCAGGCCGCACAGCAGCCCACGAGTGCTGTCCAGTCGTCCCTGGGGGTCGCGCATGTGGTTGCTGAGGAACTCAAACATGCCGAACCTAGGAACAGGAGGGGGTGAGAAGTGGCCATCTCCGGACAGGTGGGTGGGTCTCTCCCGTGGCGCCAGGCCTGGACTCACCTGACGGCCGCTTTGGGGATGGAGCCGTAGAGCAGGGAGCTGAGGCCGCGGTACAGACCCAGGACGCCATGACTGCGGACTGTCTGACTCACGCAGTCCCCTGGAGCGGGGCGGAGAAGGGGGCTGTCGTGTACCCCACCCTACACGTGGCACGACCCCGCCGCTGCCCCCACCCGCGCCCTTGCTCACCGATGCCCCGGTAGCGTGGCGGGTGTGCACGCTCATCCAGCTGCAGTTGCGTCTTCACGTACTCGGTGGGGAAGGTGATGCAGATCTCGATGCCGCCCGCCAGACCGCCTGCAGGGACGGGGTCCTAAGGCCGGGTCTTCGCCGGCCCCAATTCCCCCGCCCCTCCCTGGCTCTAATTCCCGAGCCCGAGCCGCGCCCCCACCACCCGCCCGCCCAACCCGGAAGTGGGGCGGAGCCTCAAGCGGCTGGCCCACCCGGAAGCCAGCAAAGCAGCCGCGGGCCGGGGTCGTGAGCCAGGGCCCACCTGCTAGGATCGCCTTTCCCGGGTGCGTTAGCTTGGCTTTCCCTGACGCGGGTGCGGCAGCCGCCAGGGCATGGGGGGACCGCGGGCTGCGGGGCGCGGCCATGGCTGGCGGGGAGGCGGGGCGCCCGGCGGCCTCGGGTCCGAGCCTCCTGCGTTCGGTGTTCGGTCCGCGGCGTTGGTAGCAGCGGCTGATGCAGCGGGTTATGGTCCAGGGGGCGGGGCGGCTGCGTCAGCTCCGGGGACTCCGCCCTGCGTGGTCCGAGCCTGGCCCCGCCCCTGTCCCGCCCCTAGCCAGCCGGGAAACTGAGGCTAGGGCGGCGTGCAGCCAATGGTGGTGTCTAGGTCCCCTGACTGCCAAGCACGCACGTGGGGTGTGGCGTGTGCTGTGGGTCAAGGTGCAGCTTCGAAGCAGCGTGGGGGTATCCGGCTTTTCACCTCTGGAGCCATGGAGACCTGTGACACCGCCCTCAAGAGAGGAGTAGACACCTCCCCCCACCCCAACCCCACACCACGTGGGCTTAACGCCATCCCTCCTGCTGGTGGAGCTCTGGGGTCTGGCCTTGGGGAGCCTTCAGGGCACAGCTGGGAGCATAGGCACTCTAGGCAGTCAGCACAGTGGCGGGGGCAGAAGAGAACTCCTAGGGGTTTTCAGGCTGTCAGCCCTTAGGGAGCAAACAGCCTCTTTTAGCTTTCTCTGCGAGGCTGGTGGGTTTGAACTGCCACGAGGTTAGCAGCCCAATGCTTAACCCACTACATCACCAAGGGCCCTTTCACACCCCCTACTCCAAACCAAACCCACTATTGTCGAGTTGATTCAGACTCATAGCAATCCTATATAGGGTTTCCAAGACTGTCAACTTTTATGGGAGCAGATGGCCTCATCTTTCTCTTGAGGTGCTGTTTGTTGGTAGGTTTGATTAATCCATTTGCCATTAGTCGGTTCTGACTCATAGTGACCCTGTATAGGGTTTCCAAGGAGCCAGTAGGTTTGAACAACCAACTTTAAAGTTAGCATTCTAGCGTTTATCCTACAGATCCCAGGTAATCTCTAATCGGTTGCCCACTTCAATCTCCTCCTACTTCCAAGACCCCGCCCTTCTCACCAAGCGCAGAGCATACAGCAACTCTACCTTGATAAACTGCTTTTAATACAGCCTGGTATTCCATATAGTAAGTGCCTCTGTGGGATCTACAGTGGCTTGGAGAGACAGCTCAGGCCAGTGTGGTGTGAAGACAGTGCTTCCCCCACAGATGCCAGGGGATCCTGACAGACAAACCTGAAGGAGCCCTGGCTCCAGCCTTCAAACCTGACCTCCCTGGGAGGAAGTCAGGGGCTGCCCTGGCCTCCCCAGGCCGAGTCCTGGTTCAGAAGCTGCAGTCTTCAGGCCACAGCAGCAACGAACAAGGGGTTGGGCATCCTTGCCTTTCCTGGAGGGGTTCTCTGCTCTACTGTACACATGCCTTGTGGAGGTTAGTAACTTAAGAGGTGGTGGTGTAGTGACCCAGAGTCCTCTATGCTGTGAAGCCTCACAGGGGAGACTGGGCTGGATGAGGCTGGAACAGGAGGTGAGTAGGGTTGTGGCTCCTGCTGCCCCAGAGGTGCTAGGGAGTCCATGGGCTGAGTCCGGCCTTGGGACACACTGAGGTCATCAGCTGGGTCTCACTATGTCTGTCAAAATCTACAAGAACCAGATTGGCATTAATGGTAGCTGGGTATATAGAGCACAAGGGGTGTTTGTGTGTTGTTGGTGGTGGGGGGACAGGGTAGGAGACTCAAGACCAGGCTTACGTGCTATGTGCTCTTGATACCTCTTGTGTGTGCCCCATTGGCTCCCACAGTGCACTCTTAAGAGTCAAGTGGCAGTTTCACACAATCTTTCTCCCAGAGCAGGTCAGCCTTGCTGCCTGGGAACCAGCAGCAGCTCCCTAAGCAGGCACACAAGCAAGCAGGCATCCTGGAGCAGGGATGGCACAGCTGTGTCCAGCTGTGCCTCTCACAAATCTTTTCCATGTCTTCCCTCTCCTGCCCTGCCTACACCCTGACCTCTTCAGGGGGTGCTACCTACCTGAGAGGAGATGGGTGGGCTCCACTGCAGGCTGCCCCAGCTGGTACAGACTCTCTGAGGCCACTAGCTCATCTGCCTTTGAAGGAGGTAGAGTCCCTGAGCACCAGCCAGACTTTCAAGTAAGTGGATGGGACATAGGACCCCCCCAGGAGTTTTGGGAGCTATGGCACTGTGTGCTGGGTGGTCTGTAGCAGGTGATACCAGAACCTCAGTTTTAGGCCGGCTTCCAGCTACACCTGAAGTGACCACCTGATCCCCATCCCCCATGACACACCCCCATAACATTTATTTTTAAAGAGAAATACTGGTTTTAATTAAACATAAGGTAAACTCAAGCTATCTGTCATCTTTCAGTTAACAAATGAGCAATCTACTGAGACAAGGCACAGTGCCATGCCTCCACCAGCCTTGTTAACCTGGCTCTACCCAGAAACCCAACTCTATTGCTGCTGAGTCCATTGTAACTCAGCAACTCTCTTGGACAGAGTGGAACTGCCCTCTAAGACTTCCAAGGGTGTATCTTTTCAGAGGAGCAGACGGCCTACATCATTCATCCGTTGTGGATTTGAACCACCTACTCTGTAGTTAGCAGCCCAACACTTAATCCACTGTGCCACCAGGACTCCTTTTTTACATGGCCCTAAAGTCATGGAATGGCACTGTAGGATAAGCACTGGACCATTACCCACAAGGTTGGTGGTTCAAACCCATCAGCTGCTTCTTGGAAACCCTGTATACAGTTGCTATGAGTCATAACCGACTCAACAGCATTTAGCAAGTTTTTTTTAAAAAGTGTGTGGAAACATTAGACATAACATGAATGTGCATTTGAATGCCTTGGTGGAGCAGTGGGTGACATCCCTCAGCCATGAGGCCTCCTGCCAAGGCATAGCAGCTGTGGCTGACTGCAGGCTGCGAAGGTGCCTAATTTGTAGGTTCATTGTTGTTTAGCCATCTGTGAGCAGGGCCAGTGAGTCTGGTGCTTCCTCCTCCTCACCTTGGCCAGCCAGTTCCAGAGCCCAGACTGCCAGCCCATTCTCATGGGTCCAGGACACTGGGCACTTAATACCTGAAGTACAACACCTGAAGTACAAATCCTTGGGAGGGGGCTGTGGTTCAGGAAGCAGGCCAGCCCTCCTGCTCCCCTACCTCCCAAACTCAGTGAGATGGTGCAGTCCAGGGGCACTGGGCCAGCGAGACTGTCCTGTACCCCTGCATGAGCTTAGCCCTGGGGGTGACCAGACCCTGACATGGGAACCATGTTCTCTCCTCTCCCTGGGAGCAGCTCTGAGAGGTAAAGGAAAGACTCCAGAGCTACATCCTTTTCTGCTCAGGGTAGTGGACATCTTGGAGCCAAGGTTGATGCTGTCTCTACGCTCCCTTCTCTCTTGGGCCCTGGCAGAGGATGCTTCTCTGCAGAACATCATGAAGCTCCCAGATGAGTCAGGAACCCCATGGGTCAATTCTCCAGTCGTCCTGCCTGGCTCCCCATTCTCACAGCTGTCATCTACTGGGCCCCAGCCAAGAACACCCCACCCTGGTTGGGGACCTCCTTGCCCACCATGGTGAGGCTCTTCAGAGACAGGGTGGGACACAGCCAGGGCAGATTTGTGGAGGTCTCTGGGACCCTGGACCAAGTATCGGGGTCTTTGGACCACCACTGCAGTGGTCTAAGCAGACGATCTGGCCTCAGGTTTTGTGTATGGTTACAGCTTAGACTTGGTGGCAGCATAGCTGCCAAACTCCATCACCCATCACAGAGGGTGTGTGCCTTCTCCAATTCCTGGGATTTCCTTGGGGTTCAGCCCCCTGCAGCAATGAGGCCTCGAAGACTGAATTCTGTTAACCAAGGGACCTTGACTGTCTGAAATTAAGTCCCCAGCTTTCTTTCTGTTGGGCCTCAGGAAGGACAGGGTACATGGAGGGAGGAGTAGCACATTGTCAACAGACAGCTCCTCCAGGGAGCTGCTTTCTGCCAATACTTCAGGACCCAGGCCCTTGGAAATCAGCTGGTTAGTATTCCCTGCACAGCTCAGGCCAGGTGGATGAGGCCGCCTTTCCCACTACCACCACCCAACTGGCCAGGACTGTACATTCAGATGTGCTGTGCAGGTCCACACTGTCCTGTGGCTGTGCCAATGGCTCCCTGGAGGCTCTGCAGCCAGAAGCCCTTCTGGACCTGAGTGGTGGTACCAGAACCCACTGTTGTCTGATCGGTTCTTTCCTACCACCATGAGAGGCCTCTGTCCAGCCTGGAGACATCCGGATGTGTGAGTGGACCTGGAAGCAGCTTTCTGCAGTTTTAAACACTGAATCGGACACCAGGGAACACCAGGTGAAACAAGTCTACAGACAGCTGCTCACTCTAAGCTTAGATGGGGCCTCTCAGGGCTGCAACATACAAGAAGTTTTAAAACCAGACACTGTCATCTCATTAAACAAATCACACCAAGCTGCATAGAAAGCTGGGGTGGGACATTTAGGATGCCAAGTGACACCTGAGTGGCCAAGGCTGATGTGCTAAAGGAGGAACATGACTTGGCTGGAGGACATGGACTTGCGCGTCCCCTCCCCTGCCAGTTCAAGGCCCAAGCCCCAGAGTCTGCAGCTAACAGTGGTGACTTCACCTAACTTTTCAGGTGTTACAAGGACTCAACACGTGTGTTAACATTCCTACTGAGTGCCTGGAAAAGGAGGCGAACCCTAGCAGGAGTGCCATCAGCCACCTCTCTGGGAACTTCTGGCAGCACATCTGTAGGAGGAAGCCTATCCCCCAGAGGTCCCCAGGCTCCAGTTGAGGGGCTGGCTGTGTACTGGGGTGCTGTGTAGGAACTGGCAGTGTTAGCTGCCACCTCGCTGGCTCCCACCCTGAGGTGTTCTCTGCCCTAAGTGTCTGAGGTGGGGTCAATGGGAAGGAACATCAGCACCAGCCATAGTTCTTCCAGGGTGGTGGTCTAGAGCAGAAAGTGAGCCACTGGAGCATGAAGGTGACTGACCCACTCCCAAAGGCAGCCCTGGACAGCTGCATACCCTGGGCTGAGTCAGCATGCAATCAGGGTACCTGGTGAGGTATGCGGGATCAGGAGTGGCCTCATGGGGATGGCACTCACTTTGCTCAGATACTTCTTCATCAGCTGGAGAAAGTAGGGTGCAGCACAATCCATGAGGCCTTGTCTCCAGGTCAGCTCCAGCAGCATATCCAGGCGCAGCAGGCCAGAGCAGATGAAGAGCACAGCCAC